ATCCACCTTCAACAAGCCACTACAAATTAAATGTCGACATTTGTCGGCATCGACATATGTTGACAAGAATTGAAGGGTGTCTATTAGGTACTCGACGAATTGGTCCAAGAAAGCTTTTTTAGTTGATATTATGATCCAATTATTTGAAAATTCTAGCTACGCCAATGGTTGTTGACATATATTGACATGAGCGGAGTTAGTTTTTTCTGTGATTATCAACTTGTGATTAAATTAAATCATCAACGATTATATTTGCCTTGAGCCAAATTAGTAGGGTTACGATTATAATATGGACAATTGGGTCTGACGTTGCTCATCAAGAAATTGGTCCATTGAAAACTTGAAAGTGAAAGATGAAAAGAGGCAAAACAAGATGTCATCATTTAATTAGTTTTGTAATACTGTCATTTTGACATTTAGTTGCATGTAAATTCTTTCAATCTGGCTAGTGAGAACCGTATATCCTTAGTAATAATGTAAGTTGCAAAAAATGGTGTACCACTTGGTCAGGACTCGAGGACATACCTCATGGGAGTACCTCATCTTCAATAAGTTGTAATTGACGTGGTTTTAGAGTACAAACTTACTATATATAATTGCTCATTTTCTTAAAAACCGACTATTTAGAAAATTATTTTTGCAAAAAATAGTTAAATTATACATAATCCATGTATAAAACAAATAGATAGTTTTGATACCAAGTAATATTTGCACGTCCATTTATTTAATGTTATGAATAATTACACGATCTTCTACTTGATTGAAGCTATGCAAAATACAATCTTGTGATGATTAATAAATGAATACTTTCAATTAGGTCATAGTAAAACTACGTTAATCACATATAAATAAGGTAAATACAAGTATTGAGTATTAATTAGTATTAATTAATTCTGGCCAAGAACGAGCTTTAGAGAGTGAAAACTACTTAGAAATTATAAACAAAGAAAAAGGAAAAAAGCTCTTTGTACGAAAATAGTAAATTCCGACCCTCTCATGGAAAAGTTGGTCGTCAACTGCGACTGCTTCCGCTACGAGTACTCCCTGGAGAAATGCGAAACATACTTTGTTTTGGGCCCCATTTGTCCTTTACTTTTTTTTTTTTTTTAGCACAGAGCTCACTCTCCTCTTCTCATCAATCATGCATGCCCGCCCAGATGGACTCAGAAGCTTCTCACGTGCGTTTTATTAGAAAAGTATTCTCATTGAGTTGAATAGTCAGGGTACATTTGGTATTTACACAAAGAGCTACATTTGACAGCTCATCAAAACTAACCTATAACTATTCAATAACAAACTAACTGTCCAATTACAACTAATCACTATCCTTAATACGTTTGACTCACTCAGATTTTGAAACCTAATTTCCATATATATGCATATATTTATATAGATATATATATATGTGTGTGTGTGTGTGTGTATGTACGTAGAAAGATAGTTAAGCATCAATCTGAATCCTATCTGTTTTAGGCAGTAAAACCGAAAACTGAAAACTAAATTTAAACTTGATTTCCAGAAATGAAGTTCGGGAAGGAATTTTCTGCACAAATGGTGCCGGAATGGAAAGACGCATACATGGATTACGACTATCTAAAATCCCTCTTAAAAGAAATTCAAGTCTGCAAGCAAAGAAACAACCCCGACCCACAGGCCGCCGCCTCGCCCCGCAGCTACGGCCTAAAGCGCAGGTTCACGTTGTACAGATCCTTCAGCGGTCTGACAAAAAGTAGGCACACCCAGCAGCCCGCCAGCCCGTCTTCCACCTCCGACATTGAGAGCCAGGCCATTCTCGTCAACTCCGTCAACGAAAACGGCTCTGAGAACTACCAGACGATGTTTCTGATGGCGGCGGAGGAAGGCGGAGTTCAGGAGCTGGAGTACTTCAAGAGGCTTGACGACGAGTTCAATAAAGTGGACAAGTTTTATAGGTCGAAGGTTGACGAGGTGATGAAGGAAGCTGCGGTTCTTAACAAGCAAATGGACGCTTTGATTGCGTTTCGGATCAAAGTGGAGAACCCTCAGAGAACGTTTGATTGGTCAGGGGGGATGACTCGCCTTGCTTCCGATGTTGCCACGTCTACAGCTGCATTGGCTGCAGCCACCCCATGCAGTGCCAGAGCAAGCAGTAAGTATACTCATAAGCACTTCTGCTAGAAGTGCTTAAAAACATGTTAGAAATTTTATTGAAAATTGGAAGCAGTAATTGCTAATATTGTGTTTACGTCTAAAATTGCGTCGTTTAACATTGCGATTTGCGAGCAGGGCGGGTACTGGCTATGGATGCGATTGAAGAGAGCGGATTAAACAGTTCGGGTGACGAAGAAAAAGAAGACAAAAGGAGTGGAGACGTTGAGATGAAGGTGAAGAAGCCGGAGAGCTTGAGAGGCACTAGGCCTACGCCACTGGATATACTGGACCAGGTGACAATGAATCACATGGCTGAGACGCCGCGTTCCACCATCAAAGGCTTCCTCAACGTGGCTCCACATACGGAGCTCAAGTTCAGCAGGGCTAATCTCAGCAAAGTTGAACAACAGCTCAGGCGCGCTTTCATTGAATTTTACCAGAAACTTCGGCTTCTGAAGAGTTACGGGTAAAGATATAACGACTTTGGGGCACCTAATTTGGTTGGTTTTCCTTCTGTTTTCTTGACTGTGAAGCTAACTTTGTTATCCGCGAATGAAACAGATTTTTTGAATACGTTGGCTTTCTCAAAGATCATGAAGAAATACGATAAGGTGGCTTCAAGAGATGCATCAAAATCTTACATGAACATGGTGGATAACTCGTACCTTGGCAGCTCCGACGAGGTGAGGATTCTTCATGCGTGACGCTAAAGAGAGGAAAGATTTTTCTGTTCATAGTTTTAATTTCTTCATGGCATTTGCCACTACTGCAGATTACCAAGCTTATGGAAAGGGTTGAAACTACGTTCATCAAGCATTTCTCGAACTCCAATCGCCGAAAAGGAATGGCGGTCTTGAGGCCAAAACCGAGGGTAGAAAAGACATCGGACAACATTCGCTATGGGTAAGGTCTCTAGCTTAATAAGTATGGTAAAATTTCTTTCACTGAACAACGACAATTTCGGCATCAATTTCTTTCGTCTGAATCTGTTTACTCAAAAACCTTCAGGTTGCTTTGCTGGCTGCACAGCTGCCCTCATATTAGCCCTTGTATTGATCATTCGTGCTCGAAATATTATGGATAATCCGGAGAGAAGTAAATACATGGAAAACATGTTTCCTCTATACAGGTGACTAACCCTATGCTTTTCTATTCATTCTAAGTTTCCGAAAAAAAGGGATAATACTGAATTTTTCGTGACATGTTATTCTTCGTTGCAGCTTGTTCGGATTCATAGTTCTCCACATGCTTATGTATGCCGGAAATATATACTTTTGGCGGCGGTTCAGAGTCAATTACTCTTTCATATTCGGTTTCAAGCAAGGAACCGAGTTGGGATACAGAGAGATCCTCCTTCTGAGTTCTGGTCTGGCAATGTTAGCACTAGCCTCTGTGCTCGCAAATCTTGACATGGAGATGGACCCGAAAACCAATGATTACAAAGCGCTAACCGAGCTTCTCCCACTCTTCTTGCTCCTGGTAAGATCATATTTTCAGTTGAACTATTTAATTTCGGCTGCATTGGCTCATCAAACATCTAGAGATTATATACTGAAACTAAATTCTTCTTATGCAGCTTTGTGATTGTGATATTATTATGCCCCTTCAACATCATATATCGCTCGAGTCGCTACTTCTTCCTGGTTTGTGTGTTCCACTGCATCTGTGCTCCTCTCTATAAGGTAAAATTCCACTGCAGACACCTTGATTATTCGAGTTAAAAACTGTAAAATGTAACTCGGTTGGACGTTCTAATAGAAGTTTTAATTCCTTTACAGGTCACACTCCCGGATTTCTTCTTGGCAGATCAGTTAACTAGCCAGGTGCAAGCCTTTAGAAGTCTGCCATTCTACATTTGCTATTATGGCAGGGGAGACTTCAAAGTCAGAGAAACAACTTGCACATCAGATGACGTCTTCAAAAATTTTTACTTTCATCGTGGCGTGCGTTCCATATTGGTCCCGCCTCCTTCAGTGCATCCGCCGTTTGGTTGAAGAGAAAGATCCAATGCAAGGTTATAATGGACTGAAATATTTCTTCACCATCGTAGCTGTCAGCATGAGAATAGCCTACACTCATAACAAAGACGTGAACTGGAAAATTCTTGCTGGGATTTTCTCAATTGTTGCAGCCATCTATGGAACATACTGGGATCTTGTCGTGGACTGGGGACTTCTGCAACGCCGCTCCAAGAATCGATGGTTGAGAGACAAACTCTTGGTCCCTTACAAAAGCGTATACTTCATAGCCATGGTGAGTGCTCTTGATTAGTGGTTCAGATTCACAGTATGACAGTATAAGTTTTACTAGCGATTTATACAATGATTAAAACATTGCAGGTGTTGAATGTGCTGCTGAGATTTGCCTGGCTGCAGACAGTTTTGAATTTCAGTGTCTCCTTCATGCATACACAGACAATGATCTCGGTTGTGGCGAGCTTGGAGATAATTCGTCGAGGGATATGGAGTTTTTTCCGGTTGGAGAACGAGCATCTCAACAATGTCGGAAAGTACAGAGCATTCAAGTCAGTGCCACTGCCCTTCAACTATGATGAAGACGAATGCAAAGATGAGTAGGCAAAGCAAATCGCAAACATCTCAAATTGTCTACAGGCTGCTGAAACTTTTCTTCTTTTTCCTCCCCCTTTTCCCTTCATTTATTGCTGAATGCAGAGTTGCATCTGTAGTTCTTTTTTTTTCCTTTGATTTTTTGGGAAATTTGTATATGGAATTCGTTACATTTTACGTAATGTAATCGCCTTGAAAAAATTATACTCCTATGACTGATTAACAGATCGAAAAATTGATGCACTCGTCAATACAACTTTCGCTATATGCAATTTCTTATAAACCAGAACCAGAGAATTTTTTTCAGGATCAACAACGAACAAGGCGATTTCATATGTACAATTACGAAATGAGCCTACATATGTTAATTGTGAATTCTCCACAATTAACCACAGATCGTACGTTTGTTCTTGGTTTGCTGCTTCATTATACTCGGGTGCATGAATGGAGCGAGACTGTGTCATGTTTAGTCATCCTTGTCAGCGTCCTCATCGTAGTAACTGAAGGGAAGAGGGACTGACTTGAAAGCGCGGTACTGGCCTACATTGTTCAAGTGCTCGTTCTCTAACCTGATTAAATTGTACATGTTAATCTCTCAAGCATAAGTTGCTTAAAGGATGCAACGACTGAAGACAAACACAGTAAAAAGTCTCAATGTTGAATTTCATGAGAAAAATATACCTGAAGAAGCTCCAAATGCCACGACGAATGACCTCTAGGAAGGTGATGACAGTTGTTATTGTCATTTTATTAATGGTACGCAATTTAAATTCCAACACCAACTGCATCCAAGCAAGTCTCAATACTACATTCAAGACCTGCAATGGATTTCCATAAACATACTGTGAATTAATAGTAGAAGTTGCAACATAGAACCCCATAACTCTCGAATTCAGTCACTTTAACCTTACCATGGCTGCAAAGTATACGATCTTGTGTGGAACTACAAGTCTATCTCTCAAATACTTGTTCTTTGATGTCTTTCGCAGAAGGCCCCAGTCCATTACAATGTCCCAATACGTATTCATTGTCGTTGCGACAGCTGAGCTAATCAAAGCTAACACCATCCAGGATGTCTTTCCCTTTTTCATTTCATAAACAGTTCGTATAATAACTGCAACGATTGTTGATAAGTACTTCAAACCATTGAAAATGTACTTCACATCCTTCTCATCACAGAATCGACGAATGCACTGCAAGACAAGATACACTACATTTAAGTGCATCTTTCCACACAGAAGACGTGATCTTCCAGAGATTATACGAAATTATAAGCTAGAATACAAGTGATACTATCCATCTCCATATTCATTTTCATTGTGAATAAGAGTGGCACACGCCTTTGAAAACACTAGAAAGTGAAAAATGTAATGAGACTGATGTAGAACTGCGGTAGTATTAGGGTGAACAAGGGTGTGACGGGACCGAGAAGAAGTAAAAGATCGAGGAGACGAATTAGGGGTCGAGGAGACGAAGGGAAAGGGGAAGAAATCAGGGAGTTCTAGTAAGGAGATTTTTCATTCCTCAAAATTAAATTAAAAGATTACAATCTGCTCTATTTATAGAGACAAACTTTGAAAAAATTAGGAAAGCAATTTAACTAATAAGAAATCCTTTAACAACGGGGAATTCTTAACTAAAATAGGAAAACTAATAAAAGGAAAGCTAATCCAAGTAGAATTAGGAGATGCATTCTGCATCATTCTCGCCTACTGAAAAGAACTCGACACAGGCGAGTAAGCCAATATTAAGGACAACGACGACGTTTGTAAGTATGGATGATAGGAGGACGGGATGCTGCCAAATCAAGATCCTGAAGAGCATCTTGATAATGGTGCAAAAGACTGGAATCCAACTCGCGAAATTCAGCTTCTGTAATCCAAGTATCCTCAGTAGCAGGC